CATGCCTGCTGTTACCTTTCTTTCACGAATGTCTTTCCCTTCCTCCTCCTCTTCTACGTTGCATTCCTCCAGTTTTAGTTGAGTAGTGCTCAGCAGTTGAGAGGATTGCTAAAACAGATGCAGTGGCTTAGGCTGCTGTGATTGAGGGAGCCTGTATGAAAACGAGAGATCCTGTGCAGGAGCATGATGACAACCCAAACTGTAAACAAACAAACAAACATAAAAATCCCACACCTCAGTGAAGGGAAAAAGAATCCGAGTTTCTGATAAGTTGTTACAATCTTTAACTTCAGCTAACTGAAGATTTTCAGATTTTCACTAAGACTGTCGCTTCTTCTGTGCTATATTTGTGTGTAGGGCTTTGTAAACAAGTAAGAAAGTGCACTTCACAGAAATCATGCATTCGGAGGAGGGAAACAGTGCAAAGTTCTTAGATACAATGAAAAAAAATTGTTTTACTTCATTGATATTATTCGTTGCATAGTCTTATCTAGATATCCTTCTCCCCCTTCCCCCCCAACCCCGGGCCCCAACCATGATTATTTCACTGATGGTGGTGAAAGGCAACAGCTGCTTTGAAGATATGGGCAGGAGAGATACGGAGTAGGAAGAGGAATTGGACATTCAAGTGGTTTCTTCAAGGTTACTCAGCAGTATCCTACATGTTCGTATGCAGTAACGAGGCATTTTGGCAGGATGTTTTTGGAGGGAGGTAACTATTGCACTTGTAACACTGCGATGTAAATCTTAAGACTTCCTTGGGGTCAGAAGTCAATTCCTTCCATCTGTAAATGCTAATTACACTAATTACAGCTTAAACTTCCTTTTTTTCTTTTTTTTTTTTTTAACTTGAAGGCAGATGTATTTTATTTTATGGTTAGTGTCTCTAAATTTAAATGTTAACCTGCTGTACAAAAAATACCTGACTGATACTGCCAAGCATAAGATACTTGAAAAGTATTTTGAGCTTATCTTAAAATGTTGCATGTACAGCGTTCCAATTTTCATCCACATATGCTGGGCGGAGGAGTTAAGTCTTTGTCCACTAGCTGTACAAATAAGTCTGTCTCTTTCTGTTTATACCAAGCCTATCCAACCCCTTCCACTGGAATTTCTCATCATCTCGTTTCAGCCTGTTTTGACAAGAAGGACTACCCTTTCTCCATAGTGCTTTAGAAACCTAGCCAGTTCAGCTCTTTCTGACTGTGTCTCTGTAGCCATTAGAACTTGAGATCTTCTGCAGATCTTGAGATCTCTGCAGAAATGCAAACAGGAGGTTTAGTCTAATGCAACACCCACCCAATAGCTGTTGTTGTTTGGGCAAAATCTTTGGATCAGCTAGACCACTGCTTGATGCAAATATAATCTGTTCATTAATGCAGATTTTTAAGAGATTAGATGGCTAGCAAAAAGTAAAAGCTAGGCATCCAGATGCTACCACCCAACAAAGGTTGAATGGAAGTTCTGCTTGCTGAGATAGTATGAGGTGAAGCTGTCTATAAGCTTTTGTCTTATTGAATAATTATGCCTTCTGTCAGTCTGCGCAATTACAATGCTTACTGTATCCCCTGCTGGTTTTTGTATATTTATACTGGAAAAGATAATACCCATTTTAAGAAAAAAAGACCACAGTTACCACAGCTGGAAGGATGTGTAAAAGCGGTGGAGAAAAAGTGAATTTCAATGTTTAGTTTTTTTGATCTGTATTTAACATGTGACTTCTAATGATGGAAGTAGGCATAAAAGCAAAATAGTAGATTGTCATCTTCCAAACGTGGAATGCAGATTATAGTAGAGGTAGGTAGGATGTAGTTCTCAATGAGCCTTTCCTGCAGAAGCTTTAGTTTTTGTTTGTTTGTTTTTTTATTTTTTTGAGGTTTGCCCAAAACCTTAAATTACAAAGTTCCCTAATGATGAATATCTGGAGTCAAGGATTCTCAGTCTTAAAATTTGGTTTCATTGTTTGTATTGGGATGTGCTCTTCTTTTCAGTATTTGAAAGTGATGGTTTTCTTTAAGTCTAAATGGGGGATGCAAATTGTGACGTGTAGCTGTTATGATTGGGAAGCAGTATAAAAGTGATAACAGAATTTAGTAGTTACGGGACGTGGATGTGACAAACATAACTTTAGAAAGTTTGTTTCCAGTCCTCTCTAAGCATTAAATATTTATGTTATGTTTTCAGATGAAGACTTCTCTATCAAGGGCATAGCAACCTCTAGAGCAAGATGGCACAGTGAACAAGAGCATACTCTTCAGGAGTCCTGGAACTCCTTGGTAAAGTTTAATTATTCCCATCGTGGCCGAATCTCTAACATGGATTTTCAAGGGGATATCTTTGATGAGTTTCTCCATCAGCAGAAAATCAACCGGCTTGGAGAATATCAGCTAATGAGAAAAGACGAACTACAAACACTACCAAAAAGGCAAGAAGAAGAAAATTCTATGGAGATGGATGATGGAAATGATTTCAAAATCCCTGTTTTGCCTTATGGGCAGCACTTAGTGATAGACATTCAAACAACATGGGGAGACAGGCATTATGTTGGTCTTAATGGAATTGAAGTTTTCAGCTCTAAAGGAGAGCCTGTTCAAATTTCAAAAATAACAGCTAAACCGCCTGATATAAATATTTTACCAGCTTATGGCAAAGATCCCAGAGTAGTAACCAACCTAATTGATGGGGTAAATCGGACGCAGGATGATATGCATCTCTGGCTAGCACCATTTACCCCTGGAAAACGTCACTTTATCTTTATTGACTTTGTGAATCCCTGTCAAGTAGCTATGATTAGGATTTGGAATTATAATAAATCTCGCATACACTCTTTCAGAGGTGTGAAAGACATTGTAATGGAGTTAGATGAACAATGCATCTTTAAAGGAGAAATTGCAAAAGCTTCAGGAACCTTGTCTGGAGGTATGATATCATTCCTCATTTTCTTTGTGGAAGCAGCAGCACGATATAAGCAAATACATTTAGCTTGTATTTTATCATTTTCTACTTCAAACCAAGCTGATGCTTTTTAATCCTTCTAATTTCAAAATGTAATGCAAAATTCACTAATGCATTCTGTAATGACATTGTGAAATTAAGAGCTAATTTTTACTGTTAACGCTGTCTTAGCAACCAGATTGGATTTCTGTAACATATATATAATCTTTATGTAGTTTCTACATTTAATCTTGTATGTTGTTTTCAGCTCCAGAGCACTTTGGGGATACTATATTGTTCACTACTGATGATGATATTCTTGAAGCTATATACTGCTATGATGAGACATATGATGGAGAGATGGAAAATGCCTGTTCCTTGAGATATGAAGAAGAGCTAAAGAGGCCAACAACTGCTGATGGGGAGGGAGATGAAAGACCTTTTACACAAGCAGGGTTAAGAACAGAGGATCAACAGGTAGGACTTCTGTGTTCAGAAATCTCTGTCATGTATTTCTGTAAGATCAGGAAAGCAGGAGGCAATTCCCATAATGGAGTAAAGCTGAAACTGATACAGCTATCTGTCCATTTTGAAGGTTTTTTTTTCATCAAATTAATAATTAAGGGAATTTTTTAAAGCTCAGATGATCTTCCAAATTTTGCTCTCTCTGGTTAATTAATAAGAATACATGGAAGACTACACTGAATTTTATACGCATGCATGTGCATGCACACAGACACATGTATATGTATATATACACGTACATATGTATGTGTATGTATATTTTACTTAATTGGACAGAGATAGAGGGGTTTCTTTTTGATTTTAATAAACCTGAAAGTTTATGCCGCTGTCAGTGATTTTACCAAAAATTTTGCTTTCTACTATACAGCCATTCATGTACTGAGTAACTGTGCTCTCTTATCACTCAAGACCAAATGTTTTTCTGTGTTTTCCACAGAGAGGGTATAATCTTGCTTATTCCTTCCCCCACTAGTTAAGTATCTGAGGTGAGAGGGAGGGATCAGGCGTTATCTTGCTTCTCAACATCCACTGGGATGTAGTACGTTTCTGTTCCCTGCCCCTCTTTTTTTTTTTTTTGCTTTCCTTTTTTGACTAGCCTTCCCACAGGTCTGTGTCCATTTTACAGCATAAAAATCCTCCCTACTTACCCATACAGTAGGTATTTTACTACCTAGAGGAAGGCCATATTTCTAGCCACTGCAGTGTCACCTCATAGCAGTTGAGCAGGTCCAGCATCAGAGCAAAGATTCTGCAAAACTTTCTGCTCAAGAAAGATATGGGGCAGTCTTTGGTCCACTCTCCATCAAAGTTTTTGTCTTCTCAGAATCTTACTGAGCAGCTCCTCTTGCTTCAGTGGTGGCATCTTTTTCTAAGGGATGCAGTCATACTTGCAAATCTATGAGGAGATCCGAAGTTGAATCAATACAAATTCTGGGTGGTTCAGCTCAGGAGTTCCCAGTCATATATGGTTCCTAATGAGCCTTGTGCTGCCACCACGCTTGCCTGTTCTGTCTTATCCTCCACTCCTGGTGGCTTGTAGGACAAAGGGAAATATTCTGACATTGAAATGTGATATCCCTATTAAGATCATGAATCAATAACTCTAACCCTTTGATTTTTCCAGTGCTAATTAACACTTTGGCACCAACAGTTCTGGTGTTACCTTTGCTCACGGTATCCTAGACTGGTCAGACACCCTGTGCAGCTCAGGATCTCATGAACACAAACTGAAGTTCACCTGTCTATTTTTGATCACTTGTTTGTTGCAAGCATTCACCCATACTTAATCCATTGCAGAAGCCTAGACCTGTAATGTTTGGTCTTTACTCAGAGACTCTGCCTTTTATTTTGCTGTTCATCTGTGATTCATAAAGGGGAGTCTGTCCTTTTCTAACTCTGAAACTTCCTATATCAGGAGCAGAATAACAAAGTGTTGCTGTGATTGAGCAATTGCTCTCCCTGTCATTCTGTACTTGCTAGTACCATCAGGATTTTGTAGGTGGATGCTTATGCCATGAGAATGACATAAACATGCTAGATGGTTTGCCTTCCTCATTGTCTTTCAGACCACTGGTCTTAGGTTTGGATAGAACAATCTTCGACTGTTGTTCATTTACCCTTTCTTCCCATAGCGTGTTCAGTGGATGAGATAGTGTGTTACTACAGAACTTTTGAAAAGCTCTTGAAGAAGCACCTCACATCCTTCTCAGTATTATCACTGCTCCTTTCTCTTTGATCTCCCTTCCTGTGTCTTCAGTAATCTTTCTTGTGTCAACTTCTATACCATGCCAAGCCCATAACTAATCCACTTCTCCCAACCCTGACAGTGGCCAACAGGGAGTGCCTGGGGAGAATGTAAGAGTAAGGCAAGCATGCAGCAGTGTTTCTCTGGAAGATTCTCCCAGCCACTAGGACTTTGTCTCTCAAGACTTTTTGACTTAGCCTTTGTGTTTAATATTCCTTGATAGATTTTTATTTTCAACCCATGTGCATTTTTATGGCCTTCAGTACTCTGTGGTAAGTTTCCTAACTTAACTCAGGTAGTGAAGAAGCACATGTTTCTGTTCTGAATTTAATATCTCTGGGTTCATTTAATGGCCTCCAGGTTTTGTGTTGGAAGGGACTGAACAATTATTCCCTATTCCCTTCTTCAAGCCACTCGAGAGGTTTACGCACCTCTGTTACGATCTCCCCCAAATCTCTCTCTTCCAGAATGATCGGTTCTACTTTTTAGTCCTTCCTCATATGGAAGGTGCTCTGGTAGTGCCGTAGTAATACTTTCTGCTCTTTATTTCTTTTCCAGTAACTCCTAAACTCTGATAGTATTCTGTCCTAGTCATAAGGATCTAAGCACATAGAGAGGGCAATATTCGCAGGCAGAAGTAGTAACTCTTACTGGGAGCAGCTGCTAACAAAGCCACTTCTGAAAGTGAAATAAAATAGTGGGTACCAGTGGAATGGAGGTTTTTTACTGGCCAAAAAAGGAAGAGGAAGGAGAAAAGAGGTGATAAGGTAGCTTGACACGGGTGGTTTATGGCCTGCCAGGGAGAGTATTATACTATGCTCTATAAAAACCAATAGCTTTGCTGTATCCATGGGTTTTGGTATTCATTAGAGTTACAATTTTTAATTCCTAGGCTGGTCTTTGGAAGTTGTTCTTTAATTAATGATTGAGGAAAAAAGAATGAGAGATCCAAGATGGGGTCAACGTTCTGTTAGAAAGGTACCCTCAACAGCAGTTGGGTTTTTCCATCTTTTGTGTGTTGTCTGTGTGAGTTTATTGCAGTGTACAGTTTTTGTTCAGTTTCACCTACGTAATTATCACAAGGACGTTTGTTCTGCTGCATGAAGTATGCTGCAGCCTGGGAACTAAACACATAAGATCCGGGGATGTCAGTGGTTCTGCTGCAGGGATTTTAATAAGGTGGTAAAAGAAAAGTATTGATAAGTTTTATATTTCTTAGGCACGACATAGATCCATTTTGGTATGCTCTGAATCACAGGGAGTTCACCTCTAATGATGAATAAAACTATAGAGAATGAGTCTAGATTCCTAAATTTCCATTTGTTTGGGGTTTTTTGACTGCTAATGAAGATTGAGCTCATGCTTTTGTAGAGCCACCTATAATAATGCTGAGATTTCATTCTAATCTATTACTTTGTTTGTTGCCTGTTACTCTATGTGTAAAATGAAGATTGTTTTCCTCATGTGCAGCATTTTTATATTTGTCTTCAGTGAACTTAATTTGCTGTTTTGTCACCCTCACTCAGTGAAATGAAATCCTCAGGCAAACCTTTGCAGTTGACCTTTGTCATTACTACTCTAATTACCCTGGTATGATCAGTAAATTTTGCCGTCTGTTTATCCCCTTACTGGATCGTTACGTTGAATAGCATAGGCCCCAGACCAGGTACCTGTCAAAACCAACAGTTTATTCCTATTTGTTAAGCAATTATATAGTCAAGTAAGGAGCTTGCCTCTTATGCCATGGCAGCTTATTTAAGAGCTTTGAGGAAATCTTTGTCTTTGGAAATGCAGCCCTCTTATTGTCTTGTGTATTGACTGATTTAGATAATTTTACTAGATCTTTGAGGCATTATTTTGGATCCAGCTCTGTTCAGAAGCATTAAAACAGAGATGAATTAGATATGGAGTGCTGTTGGAGGCAGAAGGCTATATTTTTGTGTCCCGTGCTGTCGTCAGTCATTGTTATGGCTGCTTCTCAAAAGTATTACTGTTTCAAATTGGGCAAAGATGAGGACCATCAGTTTTTTCATCCATGAGGGCAAAAGGTTGTTCCTTGGCAGCCCTAATAATTTTCATAGTTAATTATCAGTTAGTATTGTGAAAAAACAAGTGCAAGCTCTTGCATAGATTTGTTCATTTCTTCTGCCCCTGCTTGCCCTTGAATCTAGAGAAAAGTTTATGGTGGCACATTGAGGTCTTACCTTGGTTCCAAATTTTTTGGATCTGCAACATATTTGCAATGTGTTGCTGATACAGGCATGTTATCACTTGCTAAGGACAGTTTGCAGATAAGAGTGACTTAACAATCTGAGCCCCTTCAAGAATAGGCAGCCCACACTAGGGAGTGAAATGGTATCCAGGATTAGTTGTGCCACCACTTTTCCAGGGATCAGTGTGAGACTGACTGGCCTGTAGTTCCCTGGGTCCTCCTTGCCCTTTTTGAAGATTGGAGTGAAATTTGCTTTCTTCCAGCCCTCAAGCACCTCTCCTGACTGCCATGGCCTTTCAAAAATGATTGAGAGTGGCCTTGTAATGATATTGGCAGCTCCCTCAGCACTTGTGGGTGTATCCCATCAGAGCCCATGGAGTTGTGTTCCGTTTGCACAAGTATTCCCTAACCTGTTCCTCCTCCCCCAAGGGAAAGTGTACCTCTCGCCAGACTTTCTCCCTGGTCTTTGGGCCTTGGGATTCCACAAGGCCAGTCTTACCAGTAAAGACTGAGGTGAAGAAGACATTGGGTACCTCAGCCCTGCCCCATTCAGCAGAGGGCCCACGTTTTCCCTCGTATTAGTTTTGCTACTGATATAGAAGCCCTTCTTGTCCTTGAAGTCCCTCACCAGATTAAACTCCAGGTGGGCTTTGGCTTTCCTGGCTCTGTCTTTGCGTGCTCAGACAGTGTCTCTCTATTCTTCCCAGGTTACCTGTCCCTGCTTCTATCTGCTATGTGCTTCGTTTTTATGCCTGAGTTTTGACAGGAGCATCTTGTTCATCCATGCAGACATCCTACTACCTTTGCTCAGCTTCCCACTCATTGGAGTGCATTGGGGTGGACCATTCTTGAGCTTGGAGGAGGTGATCCCTGAATATAAACCAGCTTTCTTGGACCCATCTTCCCTCTAGAGCCGAATTCCATGGGATTCTTTTGAGCAGATCTCTGAAGAGGCCAAAGTTTACTCTCTTAAAGTCCAGGGTTGTGATCCTGCTTTTTGCCCTGCTCCCTCTTCTCAGGATCAGGAATTCCACCATCTCATGCTCACTGCAGCCAAGGCTTACACGCCTAGATGTTAGTGCAACCTCCTACATGCACCAACAGGAGAGAGAAAAAAAAAAAGTTTGAGACTCTGGATCCATGTGGTCTTCTACGTTTTCAGGCTATTTTCCGTTGTTCCCAAGACAGCCTTTGTCTGCTGCAGTAGTCCTGTTTTGTTATTTAATCTAACAAAACAAAATCATGAAAAATCTGTGGCAGGGTAGGAGGAGACTATTTTTTTTCCATGTCTTAGCCTTCTGCATATTAATAGCCCTTTATAAACAGTTTGTATCTATAAAGTATATATTAATATAAGATATGCATATTCATTGCACCTGTTGGTTTACTTTTTAGGTTCAAGAGCAGGTAATTGTGTCAGACCCTCTCTCTGAATTTACACCCAAGGAACCAGGGATATTTACTGGAAAGTGTAAGTTCTTTGATTCCCCTAACCCACCCCACCCCAGACATTATCAAGGAGTATCTGATTTGTCAGAGTTGTACACAACTTAGTGACAGATGTCAGGGCTGGAATAAAAAAAAAAGAGTAATTGAACTTTTGAGGCAAAGGCTTTGTTTACTATGGTAGTCAGAACATTATATCATAACAGTTGACATTTAAGCTCAGAAAATTAACACTGGTCAGTTGCCTAGCCCCTGAATAGAATTTGTAATAGCTGTAGTCCATTACCTAGTAATTCCTTCCTAATCCGATGTTCTGTGTATTCATGTAGACTGAATTTCTCGAATTAGTTTGACACTAGAAACACTCCGGTAAACGTACACCAAAGTGTTACACCAGTCAGGTACTCTTAATATGGACATATCCTGTACCAAAAAAACTCTCTGTGCCTTCAAATTACTTTTCAGGACTTTCCCCATTGGAAGCTTCAGTTAAGGTCTGGATGGCCCAATAGTTTCAGTACCAGTTCTTGGTCCTTATGCCAGTGTAGGAGAAAATGGGCTCATGGGTGTAGCATAAAGCCTTCAGCAACCTGTGGTGTGCCTGCTGAAAATACACACAAATGCTGTGGTTTTTTTCAGTATATCTATGAACTTGCTAAGGTGCTTCTCCTTTCTCCCATTTCTTAAAAGTAGGTGAAAAAGAAAGTAAGGATACGATTCAGAGCTTAGCAGATGCAGTCTTACGTATTGACAAGATACTGTTAATCAGCTGATTGGACTTTATTATCTCTACCAGACAGCAAGGTCCTGATTCTTGCTGAGAAAAAGCTGTATAAGAAGCTAGCTAGAAATAGAGGAAGCTTTCCGTGTCTCATGAAACACAATAGGAACTTCAATTTAGTTTCTTACACAGGACAATAATGCCATTAATTGCTTACAAGAGACTACCTTTATAAATTACCTTGCACAAAAACAAGAAGCTATCTATTATCTATAGTTTGTCTTTGTGGCACACCCATTGACTTCTACTTACCCTGTCCTGCTTGCATATATTGTTTGATGTTCTCATTATTATGCTGGGGGGAAAGGGAAGGAGCGCACACACCTGGAGTGAGAGTCCTCTTGCTGCTGCTTCTTTTGGAATATGACTGAGAACTGTTTTCATGTGGGACTTCTGATGTGGAGATGCTTTTCTAAAAGATCTGAGATAGCTAAATGATAATCTTCAATCTGAGCAGCTGTGGGTGTTAGAGCCGCATGAGTGTTGCTGTTGACAGTGCCTCCACAGATTTTGTACCACAGGTAAATTGCGTGTGGATTCGTTGAGGGTTTGTATCCTTGACCTGTTGTAGGTACTTTTCATCTTTAACTCTGCTGCCAGCCGTGATGCCAAGGGGAACTCTTGCCTGACCAACCCAACCTGACCAACAGTTTACCTTGACTTTAGCAGGTCTTTGACAGTCTCCCATAGTCTCCTTATAGCCAAAGTGGTGAGAGATGGATGGGATAAACAGATGATAAGGGCTTGAGGCTCTGGTGGACCACAAGTTGAAGATGAGTCAGCTGTATGGCATTGCAGTAAAGAAGGCTAGTTGCCTCCTGGGACAAGGGGGCAGGGCAAGGGGAGGAATCCTTCTCTTATTGTGAGACTGCATTTGGGATACTGTGTCCAGTTTGGGGCTGCCATGGGACAAGAAAGACATTGACATACTGGGGCAAGGCAGTGGAGGGTCACCAAGATGGTCAGGCAGCTGGAGTACCTGGTGTATGAGTAGAGCTTGAGAGAGCTGAGTTTATCCTGGAGAAGGGAAGAGGAAAGGAGAAATCTTCTTGCTGTCTACAGCTACCTAACAGGAGGACGTAGAGAGGATATGGAGCCAGACTCCTCTCAGAGGTGCGCAGGGACAGGACAAGAGTCAATAGACACAACAAGGTGGAACACAAGACTTTCCAACGAGACACAAGAAAAAGCTTTTTCACCATGAGATTTCTCAAACACTGGAACAGGAGCCCAGAGATTTTTTGGGATTTCTATCCTTGGAGATGTTATTCTGTTCTGGGCAAGCTCCTGAGTGACCTAATCTAAAGGAGACTCTCTGAGCAGGGCATTGGAGTAGAGTGCTCTAGAAAGCCCTTCCACCCTACATTATTCTGTGATTCTGTGAAGGCTTTGGCATGGTGATATGAGCACTAAGCCTTGCACAGATAGCTGTTTGACCTTATCTTTTCCCTTAGTCTGTTTGAAAATATACTCTGGTTTTGAATAAGATCTCTCTTGCATGATTGCAATTTGCAGAGTAAGCAAGTGCAGACTTAGCAATGGCCTTGGAAATAGCATCTAATATCAGTGCAGCTGTAGCTCCAGGCTTGTCAGCTAAATGAACTATATATTTCTTAGTGTCCTTGTAAATGCTAAAGAGATCTTAAAATTCATCTGAATTTATGTGTACATGAACACTTAGTCTTGCATGAATTGCTACCAGTATTTACAGGTAATTGGCCTGTATGGCTTAGTAGATTTAATGTTGTGGGTGGGGTTTTGTTTTTTGTTTTTTTGTTTTTTTGTTTTCATTTTTTTGTCTTCAGTGCAGCCTGACTACTGGTGCTTCTTTAGGGGTTTTCACACCTGGTTATTTCTGGGTTTTTGTAATGTATGAAGTGAAACAATGATGGATTTTTATCAAAGCTGATTGGTCTGGAATATTGCTTGTCATCGCTGTAAATGTTAATTGTATTTTTTTCAGTAAGACATGAAATAGCTGAACCTAGAGATACCCTTATACTATTTAGTCTGCACAATTTTTCTTTCCTATTTATTTTCTGGAGATGCAGGCTGATCATCATTGCCGCTTTTCACTAGCATAAGCAATACTGTCCCATTAAAATGCTTCCATGTGTCCAGTTCTGACATGAAGATAGTAAGTCAAATGCATTACTAAACCACATTTCTTTTTTGGCTTACCTATAAGTTGGTGTTCTTTAAGAGATCTAATCATTTAGGATTTATGAGAGGCTGGATTTAGATGAGGCTGTATAGTGACTTAGCTCGCAAAAGGTAATAATTAAACTTAAGATATAGTAGGTCTTCTCTGTTTCTGCATAATCCTGAAATCTGTCATGTAACTGCTCAAATGTATTCTGTAATTACTGTTATTGCACAAGCTAAGTAATGAGACACTTGATAATATGCTTGATCCAGAGTTGTATAGTGACAAATGAATAGGATGTTAGTAGCCCGCTAAAGGTCTAACAGAGATTTACAGAAGATACTATGGTATTGTACGGAGGTAGACATACAGACTGGGAAGTACTGGGAATCTAAGCAAAATACATATACTGCTAATTGTTGGAGCTTGCATGCATGCTTATATACAGAAAAATTATTTAGCTGGTTATAAAGTGAATGATAGAAAACTCTAACCAGTTGGACAATACGTAGTACAGTATAATAAGGATCAATGGCTTGGAATCAATCTGCTGGCAGGTATGCATAATATTTGATCACTAGAAAATGGTGTTGCACATATTATCTATCACATCATCCAAAATAAAGAAACCAGCATGAGACTGTGTGGCCGGCCAACATGGAAAGAGTCTAGTCCTTGAAAGAGGTGGGTTCAGATACAGACTGTGGAACAGTCATTTGTGTCAAGATGTGAGCAGTCAGACTCGGAGTGCACTAGTAGGTCAAAGCCTGGGGAGTGGCTGTAGGGTGAGTAGTTCCAGGAGTGCCACTAGTGGCAGTAGAAGACCCTCCTGTGACAGGCCAGGTTAAATGCTACGATATTTCACTGTGCTTTGGCCGTTCTTCTTGACATCAGAGCTGTAGCTGTAATGTGATTTCTAGTGCAAATTGGTTACAAATATGCAAATTAATGAATTTGATATCTGAAACTGAAACACAGGAAATTCTATCTGAACATGAGGAAATATTTCTTTCCTGTCAGGGTGACTGAGCACTGGAACAGGTTGCCCAGAAAGGTAACGGAGTCTCCTTCGCTGGAGATATTCAAAACCCGCCTGGATGTGATCCTGGGCAATATGCTCTAGAAGACCCTGCTTGAGCAGGGAGGTTGGACTAGATGTTCTCCAGAGGTCCCTTCCAACCTCAACCATTCTGTGATTCTGTGAAGGGAAGGCAGGGATGTCAAGGACAACAAGAAGGGCTTCTTCAAATACAGCATTAACAAAAGGAAGACTAGGGAAAACGTGGGCCCGCTGCTGAATGGGGTGGGTCCCTTGGTAACGAAGGATGCAGAGAAGGCAGAGTTATTGAATGCTGCCTTTGCTTCAGTCTTCACTGCTAAGGCCAGTCCTCAGGAATTCCAGGCCTTGGAGACAAGAGAGGAAGTCTGGAGAAAGGAAGACTCTCCCTTGGTGGAGGAGGATCAGGTTAGAGATCTTTTGTCCAAACTGGACATCCCTAAATCCATGGGCCCCGATGGGAGTCACCCACGAGTGCTGAGGGAGCTGGCGGATGTTAT